TCGATGAAGTTCCGATTTAATAATATGTAACCTTTTGTTCGTTCTATCGCACAGCGAGATCAGAAGAGGCTACGCCCTTACACGTTTCTTCCTTTTTATCGGAAGCTAGTGAAAAATGTTCTGTATTGCACGAGATTCTAACGCTGTTAGGAATCACGTCCTATTTTGTCCTGTCTCAGACAATATTCTGACCTGGAGACCAGAGTCTCGTATGATACTAGAGAACATCCTGGAATATGTTTCTTTTTGTAAACGTTCTCGTTCGCCTTGTCAAACAATTCGGCGCGGCCTCCACGCGATCAGTGTATTACCTATCAAAGATAATCGAGTTCTATTTGTAAGTAAGGATTTATCAAGAGCTCGAGGAGTGTTTTAAAACGATAAAAGGAGGACTGGATCCTCCGTCCATAGTTTCGTTCGCGGGCCTCGAGCTATTTTATATCACACGCGTGGATCGAGGAAACTATATGTGAATTATTTAGTTGATCGTCCGAAATATTCGAAGGGCGTAATGTTCCAATAACTTGATAACTCCGATAAATAAAAGACATCTGCTTCAATTCTTATATGCAAATAATAATGTATAAAAATTTCCTGTTTTTTTTCTTATCGCGATTATGTCTTTGATAATTTTGGACGATCAGATTGACCAATATCGCGTTGGTTTTTCGTCGAGAGGTCTCAAAGACCATGAAACGCTCCCTCCCGCAGTTCGATATTGTATACTATTTAACGATACACGTCGGCTCATACTTGCTGTAGAGAAAATTAGGTCGCTTGGGACGAGCTTTCGACGCTTTCGATCGAACATTACGAGGTATGTAGGCACAGATTCGTGAAAGTAATATTTGTACCATGCTTCAAAGTCGCCTGACCTTTCATATCATCGTGATATTCTTAAAATTAACATCTAGACATTATTTTCCATTTCCATATTTTGTTGAAAGAATAAATACAATAGAACTCTATTTATCTGAAATTGCCAGGGGAAAAACAATTTATATAATTGAAGTGCATACAGTAAGAGTTAATCAATCTTCTCAATCAGTATTCTCTATAATTTTCGTTCACATAGTGGGAGCTTACATTCAGAGTGAATTCAAACAGTGAAAGTGCAGTTGATCGGGTATTAACTAAAATTTTATTTCAATAAATGAAGTGTAAATAAATGGAGTTCTACAGTGTATTAAAGTATTTTAATTTATGTAAATTAGTCATTTGTCATTTTTTGAGATTAGTTTGTGATCAGAACTGATTCAGGCGACTTTGTAGAGTTATCGAGGATCGTTGTATCAATCGACTTCAGCGAAATGCGACTTACTAGTAATTTTCACTACCAGCTATTGCGTATTCCTCTTTATGTGCATGTCGAAATCTCTTTGGTCAAAATCTCGGGCCATACAAAAGCGAAGGGGAAGGAAGAGTTTGTTGTCAGACCTCGACATAATACTTGAGTCGATTTTTTTATATGGCACAGTTTTTCCAAATTCTTTCTACAAAATTATTTGTTCTCTGTAAGAGGGACAGAGAACAGCTGTACAAATTTATGGGAAATAGCAAACATTTCGGGAAGTACATATGTTTACTTTCCCGGTGTAATTTTATGGCAACTTGGTCTTCCTTTAAAGCGGTAACTTGTAAATTAAGTTCTGGAGTTTAAAATTAGCGTAGATATATCTCAAATACTGAACCTATATTTGTGTAAGATTAGATAATCTTAATTACTATAGTTAACATAGTACTGACCAAACTAGGCTCCAGAACTTAGACAGCTTTGATTATTCTGAAAGTGATAAGCGGCGTCCATCTTTGAGGGTGTCCCGAATGAGGTTATAATTGTTAAAAGCGTCGAAGTATTATCTTGTGAGCTGACAGATTGTCAATATGTATCAGGTTCAAATAATTGATATATTTTAATAATTGAACGAAGCAACAGAAAATCATGGAATAGAGGGAGAAGAGACACGTGCTGTGCTCTAGACTAGAAAGATGTATTTTCTTTGTCTGTCGTGATGTATAGTGATCAATGAAATCACGTGTAAACAGAAGAACGAAGTTGATCATGTACATAAAAGATGACAAGAATGAGTACAGAGATATCTATCGTTTGGGGCAACTGAAATGCGGAAATGAATCGCTTTCTGGCCCGAAATATCAACTCAAATATCCTGATCATAGTTCGATGTACATACATATGTTGCATATGTAATATATTTGGCCGATGTGCATACGTGTCGTGCATGACATGTACAATTTGCAAATACGAATACTGGAATACATTCAATTACGTTCGACTCGATTAATCTATAGTTGATAAAAAAGTGTGTGGTCGGTAAAAATTGTAAAATCGATAACTTCGCTTCGTTGGTAATTGGTCGACGATTAATAATCGATTATGTAGAGATGAAAGGTTAGTCAATCAACTATCTAAACGTTCTAAGTGCCAAATGAGTATTTTTAAAGCTAAATTTACTCTTTTTTTGGCAGTTCGTTCTTTCTTTGCAAATGATTTTATTTGCTTAGTAATTCGAGTCGAAATGATTGATCGTAGGAAAGTATTCGTAGATGTACGGGAGCATACAAAATAATAAAAGTTCAGGAATCCGTCGTATGCATTCGCAGCTCAATACACTTTGGTTTTTATACCGCCACATCGTCGAATCGATTTTTCTCGATATTTCTGCACTAATCTCTAATCATCGTTCTTAGTAAGATTTATCTCTTTATTATCGTCGTCGTCACGATTTTTAATGTCGCTACGAATATTTGTCGGGTTTAATGGAAGGACAGAAGATATTCGCCGTCTCACATACGTACATATATATACATACACAGAGATACGCAGCGGACGCGATTATCAAGCTTGTGCTAAAGGGGAGAAAAGAACAGGAAGAATCAGATACGCGGCTCGAAGGAATTGAACAATTTCTACTCTTCATAAAGCTAGCGTCTTAAACAAGCCAATCAGGTGCTTCATTTTTTGTTCCTATTTTACTTTTCATATCGCATTGCTTCATGAAAAATCTGTTGTTTCATTTTAGATATTGAATCGAAGGTTTCTCCAAACGGCCTAAAAAACAAAAACTGTTTGCTTTTGTTCATACAGCGTTTCTGAAGAACACCTGTTCTTTGTGTTTGCCGGTAACGTTCACGTTCTGTCCCAACAGAGATCGAAATGTGAAATGACGCCGGCAGGAGGCATTACACGGTCCCACGATTATTAAAGTAACGAATGTAAATCAACGATTCTCGCTATGGATATCAATGATAGTTTAAAATTTTTAAGAAAGAAACAAGGAGATTTGATATATATTGGAATTTCGATCTCTGTTCACAGGCTTCGATGTTTCGCCTGTTACGACCACTCGTTAGCGGGAGACCTAACAACACAGACAAAATAGTTACGTGATTGCACAAAAGATATAATATCAGAGGGGAACTAAATAAGCGAATTAGGATTAAAGGAACTAATTAAATTGAAAAAAACCAAAAGATTATTATGTATATTATTCAAGCGAAAGAAACACAAGTAATTAAGCTCGCTTCCATGATCGACCATCTCATATCCCAATCGTATAATGATAAAGGAAAAAGAAGAAGAAAATAAGAAAAAAAATGATATAAAAGATAATTTAACGAAACGATTATTATACGATGATGTAACTATCAAATATTATACACTAGGTCTTTCTTGTCCCCGTTGACGTAAATCGAATCGACGTTCTACTGATCTGTGATCATTGTCAGATTCTTGACGGTAAACCGGAAGGCCGATTAGTTAGACGATTTTGAATTCAATTCTTACGAACTATTCTCAGTCGTAATATCTTTGATAACTTAGTTTTACCTCATTGCAAATTGTAAAGATTATATATACATACAATTGTAAATCAAAAAAAAAAAAGAAGGAAAGAAAATACCTAATTGTGAATAACACCTAAGCTGTTGTGCATATATTTTAAAATCAGAATAAATATTATTTAAAAGACGCTGGTTCAGTGATCCAATTCACTCACAAGTAGACTACGGATTTTTATGCGTTTATGAGAAATTTAAAACAGCAAATTTGCATAGAATATGTGTAATATGCAAAAGCATCAAATAGAGAAAGTACAGTATTCTTTGTTCTATAATATTCAATAGGCAAAACAATGCTCTATTCAGATTCCAGTTCGTTAATTATGTTTATAAAAATATGTATTTTTCATAAATGTCCGCAGGCTACTCAGTTTTGGAATCACGACAATAAAAATATGAACAATTACGTCTCGTAATATTTCATAAAACGAATTACAGACTTTTACATTTAAATAAGGTAATTTAAGTAAGGTAAGTGAAAATGAATTAAATCGTCGTGGTTCCAGATATTCGCGTTACTTAATTTGCGTTAATCCACGCTGTGCTTTTATCCCTATTTTCGTCACGCAATTTTTCCGGAAAACAAGCGTGGTTGTTGGTCGTAATTTAGGTATGTCACGATGGTATAGAGCTGTTAAAAAGAATTTCAACGAAATGTTAATGCCGACTGGCGTAATTTTAAATTCACTTGACTGCGCCCGCTTCTTTACGATGGTCCTCGACACTGCGCGACAATAACGACCCCATAAAACACCCAACTTCTCGTCGTTTAGCCGAATACTAAAATATTCCGGACATTATGTCCAACATGTTATTTTCCCCGCTAAACGTAGCCCATGCAATCTTTAAAAGCACGCCAAGCTTTCTCCGACCGGCACCAAATTTCTACTATAAACGTCCTACTATGGCAATTCCCGGCAATTCTACTTGATACATAGCTGTCGGGATTTATGCGAATTTTCAGTATTTTCTTTCTTCTTTTTTTAAGAAACCCTTTATCCTCTGGAAGATATAGAAATGAACTAACATCAAGCCTTGAAGATTTTTAACTAAAACACAATCAAATCATATAATCTTAAATATATGTATTATTGTAAAGATCTTGTTTCTTTTTAAAGAATTATTATTTTTTCTCTTTTTTCCAGGATCCCTTTGCTCTCTGAAAGACAAAAATGAATTAACATAAAATCTTGAAGATTTTTAATTGAAACACAATCAAATTTAGATCATATAATCTTAAAGATATGTTCCTTTTTGAAGAGTTATTATCTTTTCTTTTTTTTCTAGGAACCTTTTGCTCCCTGAAAGACCTATAAATGAATTACGATTAAGTTTTAAAGGTTTTTAACCGAAATGCAATTAAAATCTTGATAAAGGTAAATCATATAATCTTGAAGATTGTGCTTCAGTTTGAAAACTTACTCTTATTATCTTTTCTCTTTTCTTAGAAATCCTTTGCTATCTGAGAGAGTTAGGAACATGTGACATTACATGTTGCTTATCATGCGAATTTTATATATTATACATCTTGTGTCATGGGAGTTACAGTAGATTAAAATATACTACACCATAATATTGAATTTTTCCAAAATATTGTATTGTACTTGTGCACTTTTTCATAATATTATCTATGTCACTCACGTTATCGAACATTTTTAGCTCCTGAAATCTATAATACTTGAATCGTGCTAAAATATTTAGTAACGTGGGTTACCGATCATCATCGTGGCAGCAAATGTGTTATGTCCTGAAGATATTTAACTGAAACATGGTCAAATTTAATCATGTAAGGTTAAAATCAAGTTTCTTTCTGAAGAATTCTTTTCGAGACCTAGTTTTCTTAAGGAATCCTTGAGTTTTTAATGTAATCGGAGAACGAAAACCACGAAAGTGGAAACCACTCGAGGCATCTTAATTAATTCGATTCTCAATTCTGTGCTGTCGTTTCTCGACTCGAATTCGACCCAATTCGTCGAATATACGCATGTCACTAGCAGACGGACGTTTATAGGGAAATTTGATCCTCGAGGTAGGAGCGCGTCAATCGCGAATCGATTAAACGACACTCGAGTTTACGATACTGTTATCGAGGTTTCGATTGTATCATGGACGAGATTGAATTTCCGATCAGGTTTAATCCATCCATTTTCTCCTCTGATAATAACAGTTGATTATAAGAGACTCAAGAAACCATACGTTATGTTAGTACATTAATTCGATAACTTTTCAGTTTTGCTCGTCTCTGATAATTATTTGGCTTCTAAATTAATTCGCCACCTTTTCGAGGAGTATTCAAATTTCGCTGTGACGTAAGCTTCAAATCATTAACATAATTTCTATTATTCGATACACGGTGGATCCACGTAAATGTAGATGACATTTCGTTAAAACTGATATGAAACGGGTAAATATTTAAGCCAAAAATAATTACTAAAATGGGCGGGCAATTTAAAAATATTTTAAATATAAATATCCTTTTTTTTTTATTTCATATAGCAATTTAGAAAAAACCGCATTTACGTAATTTCACATAACTTAGGCAAGTGACGGACATTATATCAACGATTAAGTTTTTATTTATCCATAAATAAAATTTGAATTCTGTTTAAGAAACACTCGGAATTAATTTTCTCGCTTGATAAATGTTTCTTTATTCCTTTTTAGAACAGACAACATTTTGTATGAAAATTTTCGCTTGATTTGGGGTTAGGTTATTTTTGTTCTGCAACGGAAAGATTCCCCTCCCCCTGCCCTCTTGCAGAACGATATCATAAGTTTTTTATTTAATTGTATCGTTAACCAAATCAGTTAATTTCGTCATTACGGTAGTCGATGAAAGAAAGTTAATAACTTGATACTCTATGAATTGTCGTAACTTTTACATTAAAAATTTATTACCGTATAATTAACAGTCATTCAGCCTGTGGTATTTAATTGCTCTTACTAAATACAAATCTACTTATTGCTTTTACTAAATATAAAAACATTTTGTAAAATTATGATGTCTTTTCATATTTCTTATTTTATAAACTTTCTTTTGTCCGCGTATCTTTGTTCTTATGAAATATCTGTACTATTTATTTGGATCAGAGAAAAAAGGTAATCGTCAACGATCCTGTTGCTCACCTTTTCGCTGACTGCTGCTCCCGAGGACCAAATTGGCGTCGAATTAAAATTTAAATGCCACGTATATTCACGTCGTATACACGACTGGTTTATGGCTGATTTGAATATTCGCCGAGGATAGAGACGGAGAATCTCTCTCGGTGCAGTTCTGTAAACTTCTCTGAATCAACGAACGCGCATCCATTTGACTAATTAGCATACGTTTAGACTAACAGCGACCGAAAATTCGAGTTTCAAAGACGTAGAATGTTCGTCGCCAGCCTATCGAAGAACTATACAGTGGCTGACGAAAGTATTCGTATATTTATCGACTCTGCTTTTATGGACATGTTACGCGTGTTATACGATGCATTTTGAAGTTTCAGTAGCGCCGCAACGACAGCCAGCCATTATAACGATATTGGTAAAACCTGAAACGATTCTTGAAATGTATAAAAAAGTTGCAAGGTATTTAGTACAAATATACATTTTTTATTTGCCGACTTTTAATTGTCAATAATTAAAAAACAAATTATTCCGATTTCAAGAATCAGCCTTTAAATTTTCTGGCACCCGTAGCCGAACATCCTGTATATCTGGTAAAGATGACAGAGGCATTTAAACAGGTAAGCGTCATCCGCAATATTTCTAAATCTCGGTATTCGATGATATCATATTTAATAATATTATATGGCTAAGATTACCATTCATATCGTGTATTCATTTTTTTATCGAATAATAGCATGCAGTAGGTACCTTGTAACTTTGTATATATTTTCAGGTAAAGTCTAAATTTTGCCAATATAATCTTGACAGTGGCATGTCATTATAGTGCTAATGAAATTACAAAACGTTTTATATAACACGCACGAAAATTCACTTTATTTAACACGAATACTTTTGCCAGCCACTGTACGTACGAGTGGCAATAAATTCTCTGGGCTATAACAGACCCTGTCGAACTGGTTCCAGCGTTATCTTGTCATTTACGTTTCTCATTCCGGCCGAAAGTTGAGTCAACTTCCTCCCAATTGCGCAATCGTCTTTATCGTTAATGGGTCTGTTAATACGTTTTTTCTCTTTTTAACAAAGTTCAGGAATATAACGTTGACCATAAAAGAGGGCGAGACCTCTTCATAAATAGAACGTTCAGCTGTTTTGTTCGTGCGTACCATTTTCCACGGACCATTTACCTACAACTTTTCGATGTCAATTAACGCTGATCCTCTTGTAGGATTACAACTTCGACTCCTGATCGGCCGTATTTCACAACTGAACAGTGTTTGGCTTTCATGTTGAAGAGCGATGCCCAGGGCCATTGTCCTGCAGGTTACCAACTGTTATTGCAGTAGTTTGCGTGGTAACAACTGTAATTCAAACACAACACGCTCGTAGTCACGAAGATGTTTTGTTAAGGTTTCATATGGGCTCCTGTTCTGTGCGTTTTCGGAATTATGCCATTAGACGTGATGTTAAAGTTCCTAGAGATCTCGTCGTTGACACCAACGTCGGAGAAACTACAACTTACATCTTGTTGGGTTTAACAAAAAGTTTTTGTTCGATTTTCCTAGCAAGATCAAATGACCGGTTCTAAAATCTAATTTAAAATTGAACGTCCATTGTTATTTCTTTTGTTCATCCAACTTTATGTAAATTATTATATTAACAAAAATTTAGAAATTGATTAATCAGATAATAAGGTCAAGGTTTAGGATAATAAAGTTAAGACAAATCCGTCATGGTCGAAGGCTAAATTATCATTTATTAAGGTTTCTTTGGAATGAGAAAATAATAGAAGCAGAGGACCTCGATACAGAGAACCTCGTGTTCGGCTATAGGTGTGAGGAAATTTAAGGAACGATTCTTGAAGGCGAAATGAGATGAAAATCAGGAATAAAAGAATTGCGTTTTTGGCTTTGTTTTTTAGTTATTGACAATTAAAAATCGGCCAGAATAACCCTGCACGCGAGCAAACCTCCATTCACGAACAAAAGAAGGTCAGCCTGAGCAGCGGGGCGCACAGTGATACTCGATCCGGTCAGCTCACCTCGTACAAGTCATAGAGAAGACTATGGTATTCAGAGACGTAAGCTGCGAAAGTCCCGCCCGCACGTGTCCATAACAGAATCGTAACAATAGCACATAGGCGACATTTGTACAAGGTTCGCACACGTACAGCGATTATGAAATATACTCTTTTCATGTTACATATATAGCCACATCAAATTTGAATATTACATTTTTATTCTTAAGTCTAACTTATTTGGACGAGCACGATAACTAATTAAGTATATATGTTTCTTGCACGTGTAAATAGCAGAGAATCGAGGCTAGACTTGGTGAATCAGGAACCGGATAGAACAATACGGAGGGCCACAGGCGGCTAACAATAAATCGAAAAGAATTGCGAAGGAAAGCCTGCCGCTCGGATATCCGGGATTTCGCTGTCCCCGAATAAGGGAATTAAACTTTATTGCGCGATTTTTGCGTCTGTATAATCCGCCACTTTATCTCACTGTTGTGTTTTATTAAACGATAATTCCATACGCGATATATACGAAATTCCGCCTGTTTATATTCACGTGTCAGCGGTCTTCCTGTCCGAACACGATGCAACGTTCGAACAGAAAATTTGTTTACCTTCTCTCTCTCTTTAATCCTTTTTATTTTCGTTCGAAACTTTCAAAATTGTTTCCAGAAGAAAAATAACGGTAATATATTTGGTCGGAACAGATCGCATCAGTTAAGTTAAATCCTTGGCAATTAGACGAGGGAAAATAGTAAAATCGAACTAGCGAGTTGAAAACCGATATAAGTACGAAATTAGCCACTTTTTAAAATTGGAAGTATACATGTCTGTGATTGGGATAGTCCCTCCGATTTGATGAGAGTAAAAATAGTATAGAAAATGTGACCAAGTTGATAAAGTACATCTGAAGCGAAGCATCGACGTTCTATGAAGTTTGTTTTTGGAAAACTACTAATGGGACTCGTCAACAAGACGACTAATTCTTTTATACATCACGCTGAATTTACTTTGGTAATCAATTTGCGTTAAATCATTTTTATTTTAATTACTTTTAACGTTAACAGGTACTACTACTTTTTGCCACTGTATTAATTTGTTTCATTTGCAGATTAAAAATTCTGTTGAGTCGAGGAACGGTGAAAGTCCAATTATTAAATTCATTTTAATTATAAAAGACTCACAAACGATGTTCAAGCACAGGTAGGCAGATATATGGACGTTTATCTCGTTTAGCATGACCGTGTTTAAATTGCAACAACGCTATAAAATCAATGACATTGATAATACACATATACACAAAAAAAGAAAGAAACTAAAGCTATTCTTTGAAATATCTCAAAATGTGGTTTTCAGGGTATATTGTTCTTCGACTCATCGATTCAATTGTTTGCCGCATTCCACAACTGCAGCTGCTACAAAATTTACAGAGGCAGCTTTTTAAATTGGAATATTTTGTAGCTGGAGGAAACCGGCTCGCGTTTTTCCACGTTATACCGACAATTAAACGGCTCGAAACGAATTGAATTAATTGAGACAGCTTGAAAAAAAGAATGATCGCCGTGCATGGGTTGTGAAAAAAACCCGAGCGCCGTATCTTTCTGGTCGCGTAAATATTTATACCCGGCGTTTGCAGTTGCAGTCACGTAACGACCGCGATGCAAAATGCATAGGAAGTGCAGGTATCAAATGAGAAGAAACTTGCTAGAATGGTGCACAACTCTCGTTCGCGTAAAATGTTTGATTCCGAAGATGTTCAAATCCTATCGCGAAGATTACACTTTGCTAAAATGGGTAGGAAACGGAAATCGAAAAATTGGAACATAATCGAGGTCGCTTTGGTGGA